CTCCTCCTTATCATCCTCCTCCCCATCATCCTCCTCCTTATCATCCTCCTCCTTATCATCCTCCTCCCCATCATGATTTTCATCTCCAACCAACTCATTATCACCTTCATCTTCAAAACATTCATCAGCTTCTTCCCTTTTCTCTGAAACCGTTCCCACCTTGCTACGGCTTGATACACAAAGACATACTTTATGAGTTATGAGTATCTCGAGCAAGTTATGAACTTGTCTATCACTTGTAACATGAATGGGAGGGGTGTCTGGAGCCATCATCATTTCTGCTGGTAATGAGTATATAATCTCCACAGTGACTGTGCTCATGTCCAGGTTATAATCTTCTTGTGCCATTGCAACAAGTTCAGCATGTGTTGAATCTTCATTCAATAAAAACAATCTTGCTCCTTTGAGATCATCAACCACAAAATCCCAACGGCAATCTTTCAACAACCATTCTCCATACACTGCATGTAACTGACGAATCATCTGCAAATATTCAAAATAAAACACATTAGTAAACATAGAGAATTTCATGAAAGTTTACTAAACATCGTCTGGACGACATACCAGTAAGTCGTCCGGACGACTTACCCGTAAGTCGTTCGGATGACTTACTTCTAAGTCGCCCATTGAGGTCATTTTTGCAATTGAAATTTAAATGGGACGACTTACTTCTAAGTCGTCCAGCTTTGTTTGTTAAAAAAAAACACCAGACGACTTATAATTAAGTCGTCTAGATAAAACGGTCTACTTTTGCTTTTGACCGAATTGTGCCAGATATTTGACTTTTTCTGGACGACTTCAAATTAAGTCGTCTATGGGAAAGTTAAAATATCAATATTATTTTATCCAGACGACTTACGGATAAGTCGTCTCAGGTTAGTTTTGCAATTCAAAAATAAAACTTAAATTTTTAACTTCTCCAGACGACTTAATTAGAAGTCGTCTGATCAGACGACTTATGTTAAAGTCGTCCAGAATAAGCAAGGTTTGACCAGAAAACTCGAAAAATATTCTGGACGACTTTGATTATCCTGGACGACTTTAATCTAAGTCGTCTGAGNAGAAGTCGTCTGATCAGACGACTTATGTTAAAGTCGTCCAGAATAAGCAAGGTTTGACCAGAAAACTCGAAAAATATTCTGGACGACTTTGATTATCCTGGACGACTTTAATCTAAGTCGTCTGAGCGGTCGACTTTTAATTAAGTCGTCTGGAGAAGTTAAAAATTTAAGTTTTATTTTTGAATTGCAAAACTAACCTTAGACGACTTATCCGTAAGTCGTCTAGATTTAATAAAATATTGAAATTTTAACTTTCCCAGGGACGACTTAATTTTAAGTCGTCCAGAAAAAGTCAAATATCTGACAAAATTCGGTCAAAAGCAAAAGTAGACCGTTTTATCTAGACGACTTATAATTAAGTCGTCTGGTGTTTTTTTTTTAACAAACAAAGCTGGACGACTTAGAAGTAAGTCGTCCGTTTGACCAGAAGACTTATCCGTAAGTCTTCTACATCCAGAAGACTTACGGGTAAGTCTTCTACGCGAAGAGATCTGGAAAAAAATTCAATTTCAAACCTTAAACTAGGTGAGATGACTTCCTTTGCACACAGAGTCTTCTCCAACTACCCAGAACATCGAACGAAAGTAACCCACCAACAATTGTATGCTTAAATGGCTCTATCAACCATAAAAAATTTGCTATCAAAAGCTTGGGTTTTTGGTATGAATATGGAGACAAAGTGAAGGAGATGTTGTTTTTAGTTCATAACAATTGAGAAAGAGAGTATGCGTATCGATTTTAAGTGCATTAAAAGCTTCAAACCTTGGTTGTACAAGGTTGTTGGGTTGTACAAGGTTGTTGGGAGTATTCATGGCAATGGCAATGTTGTAAATACTTGAAGATGATGAGGTTGAGAGAGTAAAAAGGCAATTTTCGAAAAAAGTAAAAACAAAAATTTAATGGCATTTTCGTAAATAAAATGAAGATGTGGGGTGGATAGGACAAAAACAAGATGAGTTAAAATTAGAAGTTAGTTTTGTGTTTGACCATGAGTTTTGAGTCAAATTTGCAAAAACCCCAACATTAATTATCATATATATATATATATATATTTGTCATTTATGGTAATTCTGTAGCTTTTATTTAAGGAAAGAAAATAACATAGTAATTATATCTAGCAGGACTATCATAAATGCTTCTATCATAAATATCATATCATATAGTTTGACCAACAAATATATCTAGCGACATATAAAAATCAAATGTGGACCTACTTATTTTTCAATTGAATGTAATTGACTACATAATTGAGTGACACGTAAGCATGAGCTTTTTTGAATTATTACAAAATTGAGGTTACAATTTCTCAAATGTTTCTCAATTAATATATAGGGGATTACAGTAGATGTAATAATTTATGCACAAATATGACCAAATTCTTCTTTCAGACGTGTATACGTAATGTTGATATTTCAAAACAAAAAATATCATATTATATACTATATAGTATAGTCACACGAATGAATTAACTAGTTACGAGGTTGAGTTTAAACAATTATGTAACTATAATATACATGATTTTTGACATAGTATTGAATAAGCGACAAAAATACCTAGTTTTTTTTTATTTTAATGTATGTTCACAATGCTAACCAATTGGGAGAAGACAAAGTTAGTGTAACATTTTGGAAATGTTAACATGGATAATAACCATACTAGAAGCTAGTTTTGTTTTAAAGTGGTAATGACAAAACAACGAAGAATAAAGGGTAAGGAAGAACAAAAATTAGAGATGAAGAGAAATATAAATAAAAGATGCTAACACATAGATAAAAAAGAGGGATATTGTAGAGAGAGAGATGGAGAGGGGGGAGAAGGGGAGAGAGAGAGAGGAGAAAGAAAATTTTAAAGACTGGCATAAGACTACTATATATATATATAAAGTATAGTTTCCTCCCTCTTGGGAGTGCCACCTCAGTAAATAGGTTAAGGAAAACTTGCCACGTGTCTTTTCTGTTTCACATCTGCATGTGATCACTAATGGACTTCAGACGACTGGACATGTGGGCTTATAAACAGAACATCCCAGTCCAGCACCCTTTTCATCTTCTACCTTCTGTCGAGATAGATGTTTAGGGTTGTCGACAGAACATCTTCTACCTTCCGTCGACATCAAATGTTGAGACTTGAGATTTTTTTCCAGAAAATCGACTTTGGAGCTCCAGTTGTGTTTCGGGGCTGATTAATGTTGGCCAATCTCAACATACTCCTCCTGGACCCTAAGGTAATTCCGGAAAACATAAAAAATAAATCTCTTTTCTTTTTAATGAATATATTTGAGACTTACAATTTTACGATTCAGTAATCTTTTGTTTTAAAAGTTCTTTTATGCTGATGTTGTTGTGTCAGTCTGGTGCAGTATCTATGTCTGTATGAGATGATCATGGGAGGTTCTAGGTAAACTCAAATCCCACATTTTTATTTTTAAGGGTTTAGTCACTTCGTATAAATGTTAAGAGACGTGTTTGAAGGCCATAGAACAATATGGGGACATTATTGTTTTCACATCAAATTTTAAGCCATTGAAAGCTACACTTTCAGGACTTCCATACCGGGTGGTTATGATCTCATTGTCTGTCCAAGCACCAATAAAGTTCTTAGTGTAGGAGATTATTCACCGGAAAAAATCCAGGTTTCACTATCAAAATGGTCTATATTCTCTGAAAATAAACACAGAAGATATTATACAATTTGGAGATAACTTTTCTTTTGTTTCAATATGACAGGGATTTAGGGTTGCAGTAAAAGCAGAAGTAGCCAACTACAGTGTGTGTATGTGATTTTTCTAATCCTATGGTAATGAAATAGAGTGCATGTGAGTTAAGGGAGGAGCTAAACAGAGTCACCTTAGAGAACAAGAAGCTAACAGGGATGCTAGCAAGAGTGTACGAGAAATGCTATGCATCATCATTCAGAGAAGCTTAGAGTCCAAGTATCCCTGAAATAGATAAGATCGAGCAACAAACAAAGAACAAAAAAAAGATCCGGAGGAGTTCTTATGGTTTCCTAATAGATTCATGTAGTGGAAAAACTGACAAAAATCAACTTCTTTCAAGCAAAAGACCAATCACAGATAGCTTCAACAAAGCAAGGTTTTCAACAGATTTTGTGTTTGCTGTTACTCCCGACNAAGTATCCCTGAAATAGATAAGATCGAGCAACAAACAAAGAACAAAAAAAAGATCCGGAGGAGTTCTTATGGTTTCCTAATAGATTCATGTAGTGGAAAAACTGACAAAAATCAACTTCTTTCAAGCAAAAGACCAATCACAGATAGCTTCAACAAAGCAAGGTTTTCAACAGATTTTGTGTTTGCTGTTACTCCCGACACAAGCTTGGTAAGTGTTTTGTTGCATTGTCTTTTATGTTTGCAAACGAAGCATAAAAACTAAACAGAGTTATGCTGTGGAATACCTTTGCATACAGTAAAAGATGGGTATCAATGAGGGAAGCATGGACATAAGTTAAAAGAGATAACCCTTTGCATAGAGCTTACATTAGGTGTTCGTTTCCTGTCTTGGCCACTAAAAAGGGAAAGTTTGTTCACACGCATTGAGTTTAATTTTCATTTGTTATCGTTTAAATCTGCTACTTCAGTTGTTTTATGATAATCTTTGACTCATGTTTTTGCTGTTGTTCAGGTGCAACGCATCACAGATAAATCCATCCGTTTTATGGCTACATACGAAGGGACGCATAACCACGTAGGTCCAAACCCTTCTAAAGGGAATGTTACAAGACAAGTTGGATCAAGCACTCTGACATTGGATATGTTTAATGGTGAGCATGGATTAGCTTTAGAGAAGAACGAAAGGGGAATGATGCAAGAGGTTTTGGTTCAACAAAGGGTATCTTCGTTAACTGAGATTCAAAGTTTTCTGCAGATCTTGGGTTGCTATCTAGGAGGTTGATGGAGCAGTCTAGAACATGAAGCTTTCATTGAATGTATTTGTTTTGGTATCTCATCCATGGAAAATAGGATGGTGTGTTCTACTCTTTCAAATCGTAGATGTTACTTGATAAAAAGACGAAAACTTAAGTGGATATAAATATTATTACAAGTACATGAAAAATAATAAACATTCAAGGAAGCTTAAATGTCATTTGTTTTTAAATGTTATAATAAAGTTGATTCAATTGAAACAATTAAGGGGAAGAGATATGTGAAAATTTGGTCTGTGTATACTATGATCTTCGCTTGGAAGCAAGAGATCTATATATACATGCTACAATAGTACAATAATATGTTACACATATTTGTCTAAAGATTTATTTGTTTTTCAAACAGTGACTCATATATTTTCATTAGGTCAATTTGATCAAACTTTTAAACAAGTATAAATATTTTAAAATACAAAAGGTCACTATAAAATTATTATACAACTTATTTTTTTTTTTTGAAAAAAAAAAAAAAATATATATATATATATATATATACATTGATTCGCTTTTCCACTATCTAAGTCTATAGATTTGGAAGAAAATGTATAGGAAAATATTTAACTATCAATGGATATAAATAACTCATTATTCCTGTATTTAACTTCAACCGTAACTTTGAATAATTTATTTACTTATTTAATTAATAAAGCAATCATTACAATGAAAATAGTTACACTAAGTAAAAAAAGCAAAAGAAAAATTATTAGTTAATTAAGTTTATATTTTTAACAAAATAACAAAACCAAATAGTCACTTTTATTGAAAATTAAATATTTCTAAATGTCTATAAAACTTAAAGATATTATTTAAATTTTTTCATTCGCTTACCCGCTCGTAGAGCGGGTTTACCCTAGTATTCAATATAGTATGGTAACATCAGATCTGAGTGTTTTTTATCCAATATGTTGAATTGATACTATGATATATTTGTAATGTAATAGTTCATGCCTTTAAGTGAAGTAGAGAAGAAGGGATTGTAAGAGAAGGTGAGGAGACGGCACATGGCGATGGTGGTGGAAGAAAAGAAGGTGGTGTTGCTGAAACAACTGATGGTAGGGTTGTGGCAATGCCACCGGTTGGATAGCAACAAATAATACAGTGTTACTTTTCTGTTTTATATGTTTATAAGAGAATAGAACATAAAATATTCATCTTCTCCGATATAATAAAAAATGTATGTGATGGTGTATCTAACATGGATGGAAGAATGAATTTTGTAGTTGATACCATTGGTGGATAAAAAGAATAGATGTGGAGAAAGATGAAAAGAAAAAGAAAAAGAAAACGATACATATTGTAGCATGTCATACTGTGTCTGTAAAATAAAATAGTACAGCATATTTCATTATCAAATGCACTAGTCAATGCAAAAAAAAATATCGAATTCACTGAACACAATAAAAACCAAAGCATATTAAATAACCGAGGAAAACTAGGTGAATGAAAGATATAGTAAGAATATGAGGAAGAGGGAAAAAAAAGAGGGTAAGAAAAAAAAAAAGAGAAAGAGTAGGAAACGGAAGAAGTGTGAAAGATAAAGAAGAGGGATAAGAAAAAAAAAGAGTGAGATGTGAAGAAAATAAAACTTAAAGGAAAAAAAAGAAGCATACGGAGAAGATGATGGAACACATAGCAAAGACAAAAACATGTATACATAGGGATATTGTAAAGGAAATATTCTTCCATGACGTCAAATAATAGAACAATACATCTCAACTGAACTAAACATTTTTTTCAGACGCGAGAATTGACTTAAAGAGATAGATGAAGAGTAGATGGTAGAATTGGCGTTGGATTAGTGGATGAGAAAAATAAATCACCATAGGAGATGGAAGAAAAATCTGATATACTATCTTAACTAAAATTTAATTTATATTCTATATGTACAGTCAAAATAAAATAGACGATGCAACATACATAATACTACTTATCTTCTTTTTCAACTAATTGTTTGTTTTTTCTATTCTTATATTTCACGTTGATTCAGAACAATTAATTCTTTTAATTTCATCACTGATTAAATACCGACTGTAACACCTTCCTTCCAATCAATACAATTTTCATCGTCATTGGAAAAGAGTTATAGGATGGAGAAAAAGATACGATTGTATTGTGGAGAAAGAGAACAAAGTATATTATAGATGTGCAAAAAAAAATGTGCGTCTTGAATTTAAGGATAAAAAATGAACTAATACATATTATACATATAATATTCTAGCCATTGAGTTGTTATGGTTAGTTGTTAAAATAATTTTTTGTTATGGTTACTGGTACCAAATTCCCTTTAATTAATCAACTAGATTTTCAAAGCAAATTTATATTAATAATTATTTTTGTTTCATTTGAATTGAAATAATAAAGATCAATGATTTATAGATATTTCTATGAAATTGTATTAAAATATACATTTATTATTTTTATTTAAGTTTTATACAATTATACCATTTAAATAACTAATATTTATATTTTCTTTGTTTGTATATGTAAATGTATAAGTACTGGATGGATGGTCTGCACACTTGTGAGAGTTTAAATATTATTCTCATATTAATGTTTATATTGCTATGATTTTCCATGATCAGCAATATTATGTTAATATATTATACATATATGTAATATTATCGACTTATACTGATAAAAAAATATTGGTTTGATTGCACTAAGCAAATAGAAACATTCAGCATATCGTTGACTTAATTTCATTTTTAGGTGCACAACCATTAAGTCACGCATTTGGGTATATATATAATTGTTTTGTATACAAAAACATTTTCGTGATGCATCATGATCTATTGTTGTTCGCAACCTCAAAACTTGAAATTAAAAGAACTGAAACAGTGAAAGCAAATATGAGGTATTATTGTTCAAAATCTTATATTCAAAGTTTCATTGTTCAGAACTTATACTTGAGGTTTCATAAATTCTTCATAATTATTATCAACTAAACTTCAGATATCTTATCATATATCCATAATTATAAACCACTAATTGATCTAAAAAGTTGAACGTAAACATTATTTAAAAATATTACATTTAGATCGACATTGTAAGAGAATGTGACACTATTCTGTAATTTTATTTAAGAATGACTTATAACCTTTTTCCATATTTTTTCTTGTCAATGCCAAAAGATAATGAAATATATATAAGAGAACATGTAAAAGATTTAGAAATTAACATAAACAGAGTTTAAATATTTAATCTTGCATGTATTGAATTTCTTGATAGTAATAGATATGATAAACATCATAATAAATAGTATGTAACCATCATGTTTGTTCTTCATCTAAATTTTTAGCAGCGAGGCAATAATCTTCAATCTCAACCCAAGTTCCTTCGATTAACAGAGATTTGTACCGATAAGTATATTTGTTTTTCACTCTTGCTTGAATTTTAAAAACGCGAGTATTTTTTCTTTCCAAATTTCATACAAATGTGTAATTTTTTTTGTAATTTTATGTTTATATATGTTATTCAACTTTTTATATAGATTTGGGAGAACATATGGAGTTCCAAGTTATAGAGCATTTTACATGTTTTTTTTTTTCACGTCGTGACAATAAAATGGCTATTTTTTTTTTTTTTTCCAACATAATACATTAATAATTAAACAGTATGAGGCCAATACAAATAATCGAGTAGCCACGAAGGCGGAATAGAAAAAGATATAAAATCTTGAGAAACATCAAAGTTAAACTTAGAGAGAACATCAGCTGCTTTATTCCTCTCTCTATTAACCGTAGCCAAGGAGCAATTAGGAAGCTTCGCCATCCAATGACGAACGTCATGAATAACATTTCCCAACAAAGAGTGTTGCAAGACAACATTATTAACCACACGATCCAGTTCCATACAGTCTCCTTCAAACCACACATACCTCAAACCTCGAACCCAAACTTGCTGCATAGATAAGATAAAAGCTAATGCTTCCCCTTGGAATGCAGAAGAGACATTCGATAATCTAGCAATACCCGAGAAAATATGAGATCCCTTATCATTACGTACAATCCAACCCACACCAGCCGTTCTGTTCTCAACTTGATAACTACAATCAAAGTTGCATTTCAGCCATTCAACTGGAGGAGGTTCCCACATCGTAGGACGAGAAGTAGTAAGCTGAACTTGAATAGAAGGCTTCTTGTAATACAAATTCCATTCTTCATTCGCAGACACAGCTCTGTTAACATCCTCTAAAGGATGTACATTTCTTTTAGCAAAAAGAAATTGATTTCTGGACTTCCATATATACCAAATCACCCAAAAAGCAAGTTTAGAAATCGAAGCAGGAGTACTAGTATTCGACTGGATTGAGAACAAAGCTGAGATATTTTCCTCGAGCTCTTGAGATAATAATAGTTGATGAGGTAATCCAGAGCATCTCCATGTTGCCATAGCATGCGGACATATGAACAGAACGTGGTTAATGGTCTCCTCATCCTGACAGCATCTTTGGCAAACTGGATCAATATTAATTCCCCGGGAACACATTTGAACATATGTTGGTAATGCACCCGAAATGGTTTTCCAAAGAAATACTTGAATCTTTGGTAAAATTTCTAACTTCCAAATCTGAGCTTTAAGAATCAAAGACCCCTCCGGAGGGACAATCATTTCATCTTCATTACTGAGATGAGTAGCCAACCAATAACCTGATTTAACTGAATACTCCAAATCCGATGTATAAGGCCAAACATGATGGTCAGAACCACTGTATCTAGAAAGTCTAATCTCTTTTATCAAATCAATATCCTCAGGAAGTAGGAATTGGTTTAAAATCACTTCATCCCAAGAATACGAACCATCTTCAATGAATTCTGATACCAACATATTAGGCCGTAGACAAGGCGAAGCTAAGTGCCTAGGAGGAAGGACAGGAAGCCAACAATCTTCCCAAACGCGGGTCTCCCTACCGTTAGCAACTTGAATTAAGAGACCTCTCTTTAGAAGCTCTTTTCCAACTTGGATGGAT